GGACCTTGATGTCGTCATGTAACCATAACAACCGTGGACTACTGTCTGCCTCCAGACTCTACATTACATGAAAAATAAGATAAATAAAATAAAATAAAGGACCTGACTGAGTTTCTGTGACATATAGCTGAGTATGACCTTAACTCTTAGAATTCCGTTATGTGACCCTTCTTGCTCTGGTTCAGGTGTTCCTTCTTGTTTCTATGGCATCTCCTATGATCCCAAACACAGTACTTTCTGTCCCTCATGACATCATAAATTTCAAGAAGACAGAAGTCGTGTCAATGTCTCAATCAATGATGTGTCTAGAACCTTGCACATGTCTACACAACACATAGTGAGCACACAGTACATTTGTTGAACATGGGAATAATGAAGAAATGATTGAATTACTATAATACCCACCTCTCTCAGATCTACTACTAACACCATAGTCCAGAATTCCTCTTTTTTTTTTCACCTAGACTATTTTAGTAGCTTCCTCATGGTTCTCCCTGAGTTCTCCTTGCTTAAAAACCCTTCCCTAGCTTCCCATTACGTTTAGAATAAATCCTTTACATGCTCTGTAAAGCCCGTACCATCTAGCTACTCCCCGCTGCTCTGGATCTTTCTCCTTCCATTCTCTTCAGTATGCACCAGCCACATTGGCTTTCTCTCGGTTACTGAAACATTCCAAGCTTATTCTCACCTTAAGATCTTCGTGCTAGATGTTCCATTTCCATGGGTTTTCACACAACTGTCTCCTTCTTGCCTTTTCCATCTCAGTTTAGATCACTTCCTCAGAGAGGTCACAGCTGATAATTGAATCTAAAGGACCTCACCAAGCCCTCTATCCCATAATCTTGGGCCGTAAAGAAAATATTTTTGCTTCTGTGTAGTTAGGACTTCCTGAGAAAACCTTACTGAACTTGGAATCTGGGCTGAAACGCAATCCTTAGAGGGAGACTTATGACTGAATAAGAAATGAGAACTCCAGAGAGCTTTACCTTTCCAGAGGTATCTGTACATTTCAAGGGGAGATGCAATCCAGGACCAGGGAGACATTCCAAGTGGTGAAGACCCAGGATCTTTCTCATTACTTCTCCAAGGAAACTCCATCAAAAGAGGAGGGAAGACAGCTGCCTCTCACTCCTAGGTAAATGTGCAGATGCATTTTTTGGATGAAATGTCTAGAGTGTAGAGTGACATCTGGCTTTCACCGCATTGCCCCAGAAGGAGGACATTGTAGCACAAGGGAACTGGCACGTTATTACCTGCTATAAATAAATAACAAGAAATCTTCTCTGATCCAGAAAACTCATGTTGGCATTCAGGTTAATATTAATAAATATAGTATTAAAAACCTAATATCTCCTTTTTTTAATAGTTCTTATCATCTGATACTAGGTATCTGCATCACTGTATGGTGGTCTGTGAGTCCAGAGTCTTTGCTATGTTTATGCCCCGTGTCTAAAAGAGCTCCTAGTAGGAGATCAATAGATACTAGTTGAATGAATAAATGAATCAATCACTGAAATGAGAATATTTTGGAGAGCTGGATTGTGTAGCTTTCTACTGATTTGGCTTAAAGCAGAGGGGGTATTACAAATTTTAGAAGAAATGATTATCTCAGCTGGCCTCCTAAAGAATAGTTAACGTAACATATATTTGAAAATAAAGGTTTTTATAAATGCCTCAAATTAAGACATTTTGTTTTTATAATGAACTAATTTCCTTATGACTTAGCTACTAGCTGTGTAGTTAATGAGATTTATATTCTATATCAATATTGAACAATTTATCTGTATTCCTGCCCAGCTGCAGAGCAGCTGAGTTGAGCAGGATGAAGACCTCTCTCAAAAAGCAGTTTTAGTTCCTCCCATCTGTCTGAACAAGAACACAAGTAAATCCTCAGAGTTCCGAATCCTACATTAACTGAAAAACTTTAAAAGAGCCTACTTTAGCAATTCTCAATATCTTTGAGTACCACCTGAGCACTGACAAGAATTTAAATATGAGGAGGACTACACCTTAATGGCATTCAAGATGAGTTATTCCCAAAACACACTCCACAGGACCTGCACAGCAGACTTGTTAAGCGACATCCACTTGGAGACTGAGAAATAGCTTCCAAAAATGGTAATTTTCCTTTTGGTGGAGTTGATATTGAGCTCTTACTTCTGAGAACATTTGCACAATTTGTTCCAGCCAATCATCTCATTTTAGAAACAAAACAAATGTATTGACACCAGAAACATTTGCTAAATGTAATTCTTAAAGATTTCACTCAAAGAGAAAGTTGGATTCTGACTCATGATGGTAGATTAGAGAATGGCTGGAATTAATGAACCATTCTCTTAAACATCAAAAATTTTAAACCAAGGTTTACAGTAAAAATCATTTCTCCTTTAAGATCTGCTGAACGTAGCATGTATTTTTTAAATTCCATCGTAACAAATGAGTCAAAATTACATAGAATTTGAGGAGAATGTAAACAAAATGTAAACTTTTGAAAGCAAAGCTGACCATAACCAACATATTTGGTCAACCATTTAGAGAGGTAGCCATCCTAAAAGATTATTTACAAATGTGTTGCAACTGTACATAAGAGGGTACAGACTAAAATCCCATTGGGAAGGTATCAACTAAATATAACTGATAGAAGATAAGCTATACGTTTGGATGTTGAAGGTCGCCAAACCCAATGCCTTCTTCAGGAGGGTAAAATCTGGGTCAGCAAGAGTTGAGAAGTAAATACCGTGTGTTTGTGTCTCTAGCACACTCCACTGAACAGGGCGCCCTGATTGGCAGGTGCGAGCCTCTGGCCCTCTCAACAGGTGTGTCCCTGTAGTAAAGAAGGGTGCATGCCAATCTATTAACACTGTTTCTAAAGATCATGTAAATACTTTTGGTCTGAGTTTTCTTAAAATCATCTGATTTCCCAAACAGACATCACTTCTGAGAAGAAAATGTGGTGATCCTCCCATGTCAGTGTTTCCAACCACTTATCAATTCAAAATAAATTAATTCTTCGTGAGGCTCTTGCAGTTTAGTAGGCATAAATCAGTCTTCCAGAAGCTAATACCTACAGAGAAAGATAAAATCAAGTTCTAGAACCTACAAAACTTAGAAATAAGATTTAGAACCATAGTGATACCATAACTGTCACTACATTATATATTATACCTGTAATTATACGTTATATATTTTATATATTATACAGTACACGAAGCAATACTGAAAGGGTCATGCTCTTGTTAATTTGTCATCCTTGCAAAGAAAGATGTTTATGAAGGCCTGAGGCGAGGGCTGGGTACGTAATTTGCAGGGTTCAGCGCAAATGAAAAAGTGGACTCCTTATTCAAAGGTAGGGAAAAAAGGCTTTTCTGTTCTTCTGCAATCTCTCAACCTGTCATGTGATTTTTACTCGCTTTTGATGTCCTGCTCCCTTGGGAATGAGACTACCTGCTGGTCAGGTGCAGACCCTCAGAAATGCCCTCTCCACACTCATGCCTGGGCCCCCACTGGGGACTGAGGGCAAGAGAAGTCAAAGGGTGGAGGCAGGGGAGTGGGCTGCTGGGCACCCGACCAGGTGAGGTAGGGAGGTGACAGGAGGCAGGACCACCTGTGAGTAGAAGCTCCAAGACCCCAGCGCATACTCCATCATTACAATGGGACAATTTTGATGACAAAATACAAATTTAAAGACAAAATTATTAATAATTTCAGGATGACCACATTGCATCAAACCCTAAACATCAAGCCCTGTGTTATTGCTCTAGTCACATGCCCATGAACCTGGCCCTTCCTAAGGTAGAAGCAGTTAAAGTCTGCTGCCCCTGGCCCTCACTTCATCTGCCTCATCTGTTTCTACCATCCCCGGGCTGGTCTGTTTGCTTTTGGGTCTCTGTGCTGATGTGCTCTTTGCAGAGAACCCTAAGCTTTGCTGTCTGCCATTGCTCTGTACCCACTTGCCCTCAACTGTATTCATATTGCTCTTGCTACAGAAATTTATGTTCCTAATTGCTATGCACAAATTCCCACAGCACACCAACAGCAGAAGGTACGGCACTTCTCTAAAACTCACTTCGAATGCTGATGTTTCTTTCTAGTCACTCCAGTGCAGGAAGGGGGAGTTTGACCTCTAAGACTTAAGTCAGGTCCAGGCTGAAAGCAGCTTAAAAAAAAGAGCCCCATGGCTCAAATATCCTCTCCTCTATGTGAGTCTCTCATCTCTGACTATAAAAGATGCCCCCAAGAAGGACCAAACCTACCCCTTACTGATCTAGTTGGGGATGTGCATTTGAACATTCTGAGTTACAATGAACTGCGAGTGTAAAGGCCTGGTCTGAGGGGTTAGGGAGTCTTCTGTCCTGACCACCTCTTCACTAAAACACAGAGTCTAAGATATCAGGTTACTAATTAGTCCAAGTATGACCTTGGACAAGTCACTTCATATCTCTCTCATTCTTCATCCATCAAAAATCAAGAGGTTGATATTAAGGTCTCTAAGATCCTAAAAAATTTTAAAAGCATTCAATTCCAAGAGAGAAAATAGAAAGGAAAAAAGAAACATAACCAAAACGGCCCTTTTCAAATAGATCTGAAAATGTATCTTTTCAATATATCCTTTTTTACTTCTGGCCTGACATGGATTCCCTAATGTGTCAGGTCAGGTCCTCCGGGAGGCAGATGCTGAGATGGAGTTGGAAGTACGAGAGGCCCACTGGGCCTGGGGGTCGGAGGGTGGCAGTGCCTGCGAAAGACAAGAGAGGAGGAAGCAGAGGTGAGCAGGACACACTTTCGGACATCACAGAGATCCAGCACTCGTGAAACGAAAGAAAGAAGAAGGAAGAAATGGGTGGAGAACGCCTCAGAGCGCTGTAAAACTGAAAGAGTCTCAGGGAATGCGAGGAGTTGGGCGGGAGCTCCAGAGCGAAGACAGCCGGTTGGAGAGCTGAGCTCCCACATTGGGCAGAGATGGGTGGCCCCAGTACTCTCACACAGGGTCTGAGGATTACCTGGGAAGACGGGCCTCAGATCCAACACTAGGTGGTTCCTGAGGTGCTGCTGCTGGAGGTGGTCAGCTAAGTACAAGTTCTTTCTTGAAGTAAGATCCACGTGTGCCACTCCATGACTGCCGCACTTGAGCACATCAGTCCTAAAGGCAACACATGGGAGTTAGGAAGCCACGTGTTTTTGTCAGATCCCATCACAGACTTACATTTCTAGATTCAGTTCTAGTATTTTCAAGATGAGGGGACAGTTGATCATTGTTAAGAAGTATTATATAATTAATGAGAATTAAAATAATTTTTTAAAAAAGATGTGGAGTGGAGAATTTTAGAGATGGAAGGAATCTTAATTATGTAGCCAACCTTTTTTATTTGACAAAGAGAAAACCGAGGTCCCAAGGGGCTAAGTACCCAACATCACCATGGGCTAGTTAGCACCAGGACAAGGAATGGGGCTGACACCTCCTCACTCCTAACCCTTTAAAAGAGTTGAATAAGACAGAGAAATTATTTTCACCAACAGTTCAGATTTTGAAAAGTACATTCAGAATTAGGAACAGCTATTCTGTCCAAGTTGAAGCTGACACTGATGGTGCAGGTTAGTAAAGTTTAGAAAAGAATCCAGCACCACAAAAGTCACATGGGGTGGGTCACATTACTTGGTCTCCAATGAATAAGGAGGTGACACTGATGAAAATTGCTTCAAATTTTATTGAATACATTCACCTTTATGGACTTGAATCTGGAGAGATGTGCACCTGCTCTCAAAATTTTAGGTTCCTGTTCCTTTCACTGCACGACCCCATCTTCTGTCAGTTATGTTTCTTTGCTTTCTGCTATCGATGGTCAACATGGCTCTGATTTTATTTGAACATTTAAGTAACTAAAGTGAGTATTCTGCTTCCATGAGGCAGAGATTTGGAACAACGAAAATTGAGAAACCATTTTTCTCTTTAGATAAGTGTGACTAGGATAAAGTAAGCCAAAAATGAAGCTCAGGGAGCTGGGTGAAAGAAAGGGACATACTCCATCCTCCCAGGCAAACCAGAGAATGAGCCAAACCAGTAAATCTCAACAAGCAATTTATCTAGATAAATGTACAGATTATAAGATATACTCAGTATGACACATTTTGAGATCATTATAAAACAAAATGCTTTTCTTATGAGTCCACTCCAGCTTACAATATTTTCAATACAGCAATTAGTAATCTATAATCATTATCAACGTCAGGTAAAGAAATATTATAGCAGCTGTTACTGTCTTGAAAGACACTGATACCTTCCTAAAAATATCTAAAACTATTTTGTTGATTCAAGGACTAGAAAAAGTATATACTGCTAGACTAAGTGACCATTAAGGGAAGGGCCGTGAGGATATTACAGCTTTGATATGATGTTTTCTGTCATATACAATGTAACCTCATTTCTCAGAAGACCACTTGGCTGACAGACTTCTTCCACTGGCACACCACTATACAGGATGCTGCCTCTAGGCAGAAAAGAAGTAGAGAGCAACTTTCCTGTTCCAAAGCAATTAGAGATGAACTGGAAATCCAACCCTCTACAGGAGACAGCTGAAGCGTTAGTATCTGCTACTCTGTCTTGGTTCTGGTCTCTACTCAGTGCTGAGTCACTGCTTACATGGAGATCGAATGAGTTTTGCTGGTGCTGACAGGAAGAAGTTCTCCAGCATATGTTATACTGAATCCTAACAGAAACACCTGGAGCACAAAGCAAAAGCAGGTTACTATCAAATCACCCTTACCTGACATGTTACCTCAATTCCAACTTCGGTTAACACATAGCCCCTGGCATTGTTCCCTGGGACAGTTCCCACATTCTAAATGAATGCCTAGGTGAGGGCAGAGTACCTAGGCAGCCTGTGCTTCAAAAGGCTCAAAATGAAAAAGGCACAGTAAAATAAATCAGCTGGACTACTTAGTGGTAAATGCCTCATTTTCTTGTTGAGTTTACCCTTCTGACCCAACGGAACAGTAATGTATATCTTCTCACTGCCTTCTTAATAAGGTTATTTACACTGCATAGCCTATGAGTTTGTGCCCTATGCAATAAATTCTCAGTTCTAAAATGTATGTGAGATTGTAGACATCATTATTGCAGAAATTAACCTTGTAAATGAGGAGCACCCTTACTGAAGCTCTGGATTTTGATTATTCAAGAATGACACAGGAATCCAGGCAGTTTTCTGCAGAATTATAATGATCAACCTTGCAAATAGGCACTGACCATGAATAACTAACAATATCTTGGCAACAAGTGAAGAATTCTGACTTCATTTTTTTAAATATCTCTGTACTGGTTTATAACCTTCAATGCGAACAGAGGAAAGAAATATTGTGAATATCTCTGGTACACTGAATTAAGTGCTTATTACTCACTGCTGAGGAACTGGGCTGAGCAAAGCCAGAAGGAGGAAACAGACAGAGCAGCACATTTTCAAGCCACACAGTCTGCTGCTTGCAGCCCCCAATATGCCCCAGGAATCCCACCATGTCCCACCTTCCACTCAGCCACACTGACGCGACTTTGATAACCACAGCCAAGACGTATCAGGAAAAACTAAAATTTTATTAATTTCCTGATTCATCACGAGGTTATAGAAATCTAACAGTATGATGAAGCTACTAAGTTACAGCTCAAAAACGAATTACTAGGGATCAAAGGAAAAACAGATATTTTCTCACTTAGGTAAAAGCCTGCAATAGATCATTTGACTCTAATTTCAACCAGTTTTCCAGCAAAGGAAAAACCCTGAGGATCGACATGGGACCTGGAGAGTCTTCCTCCACTTTTCCCTTCTCTGATTCATGACAGCCACCTCCTCTTCCTTGCACCTTGAAGAGGCGGAAGGGGAGGATATTTCAGAGAGCCTGTAATTGAGAAGAATATTAAACAGCTGTTAGCTAGGAAGCAAAAGTTCATCCATCTAATGTCCTTCAAGCCCACATATAAGACTCAACCAACGGGCCTGAGCATCAGCAAGTAGATGGAGGGAGAAAGTCCCTCTCTTCCATGTGAGTACCTACGGAAGTTACAGCATCCACAATAATAAACATAAATCCCACTGCCGATCACGGGGTGGGTTACAAGAGGGTACTTATTTGTGAAAATTGTACAGCTGAGATTTGTGCATTTCAATTGCTCTAAGTCGTATCTCGCAACTGTAAATATTAATAATAATAATCAAGTAGGTGTGGGGAGTGAGTGGAAGTGAAGACAAAACAAGAATGGCTGAATGCTGATATTTTTGAGGCTGGATGATGGGCACATAGGGGTTCATTCCACTATTCTATTTTTTTATGTGTTTGAAATTTCCCAAAATAAAATGTTTAAAAATGCTAATTGTTTCAATTTTATCACCAACCCACAGCCACAACTTTTATCAATATGAAGATCACGATTAAAGTCCACTCATATGTTTGACATTTAACAATGCAGGCTGAAGACGTCACCTTCACACAGCCCAACCTGAAGGAAACAGCTTGACATTTTTCAGCTTCTGAGCTTTGCCTGAATAAAGATGGGTCATTAAGGAAGATTGTCCATCCTCATCAAATATTATTCTATTGCCTCAAGAAGTCCGAAATGAACTGAACAAATGAACAGCTCTGCACTGTGAGAGTTTTTTTGGTCTGCAGTGTTGTATGTATTTCTTTATACCACTTAAATAAACTGAGCACCTCTGGATTTATCCAAGTCCCCTCACTAAGGACTTAGCCTTTATTTATTCTACTATTTCCAGCATTCTCAGATTAGGAATACTCAGTTTTTGTACCATTACACAGTATCCCATTTAAAGTACCAATATATACATACTAAGTCTTTCTACAAATGTTTTCTTGATGTTCAGGCATTGGTACTGATGTGGATTAAGGCTGCCCCAGCTAGAGAAGCCCAAGGTGATCTGGCCTACATGCCAAACTATATGACCCAGTGGATTTTTATGGTATGAACTAGGGCTGCCCCAGGGAGAGAAGACCAGGGCATCCTCACCTACATGCCGATCTGTATGACCAGATTCGTATCTAAAGTTGTGGGACCACCCAATGGCCAGACCCCACCTGCACTGATACCATTTTAACTTTTTTACATGTTCTTTCCTTTGTCTTGTAAAGAGATGACTCACATACCTATGCCTTAAATTTAGCCTTACTCCCCACCCATGTCTGCAGCAGTAACGGGGGCAGCAGAGCTCCTCCTGCCCGTGCGTCCTGTCCCCACGCAGCAGCTCTGTCTGCCCATGGGTCCTGTCCCCATGCTAATCTATTCTCAAAATAAAAGAGCACTACTGCCAGATCTTAAGAGTCTAGGAAATCTTTCTTTCGACTCCTTGGCTCACCGACCCCGCATCAGGTACCATCTCAAACAAGGGTGAAATTGCTTCACAAGCAGGCACGTTTTCATATTATATGAGAAAGGCTTAGTTAGTGCTCAGTAAATGTCTATTGAATGAATGAATAGTAGAAGAAAGATATTCAAATGATTAAAAGAATTTTATAATGGACATCAAAGACAGAAGTAAAGAAAAGCAGTAAAATATTTAAGCAAAAAAAAAAAACAGCATTTGTAATGATTTTAAAATTAAGCTCACAAGAAAGCATTTATGGAGTTATTGTGGGCCAAGAAATGCCACAATATATTGAGGGTTTAAAAAATTACACGCAATGCTTTTTACTTCTGAAAAGGACTATTGGTTTAAGAGCTGCTAAAAGAAGTAGTCAAATCTCTGGGGGAAAAATTGCCCTTGCCCATAATACATTTATTATGGGGATAACCTTAGTTTATCAAGTTTGACTTTGGTTAAAACTGGTTTCAAAAGATCTAAACTTCAAAAACTAAAATGAGACAAAAAGGTCGTGGAGTCTAAATTGCCCAAATAATTACTTTTTATCTCTCCTTCACTTTTTGCCTCCCTTTACTGCAGTTTGTGTGTCAAATGTTGAGCTGAAACAGTGTGAGAACTCAAATAATCCTAACCATTTGTAAACAAGGGGCTAGGCCAAGTCTGTACTAAGCATTCCACACAATGGCTTTCTTTTCATAACAAAGATTAGCACATCAATAATTATCAATGTCAAAGGTCAAGCAATAAATTAAGATTTAGGAAAAATCAGCTGGTTTTG